GCTGGGGATTTTGGCACCTCCCGGTGTCACCTTGTTGACTCAGCACGGCCCCAGCCGGTTCCTGGGACAGGTTTGGCCGGGACTGGGAGTGCCTGGATGGGGACGGCGGGGCCTGACCTTGGCCAGTGACGACCAGAGCCTGCCCAGGGCCCTGGGAAAAGGGACAGCTGGAGGGGCCGGGCTGGGGCAGCCATCCCATGGGATTTAAGAGGCTCCAGGGCGCTGTTGGGATGTGAGACTGGCTGTCCCCGCTGACCATGAGGCTCCCCGTGCTCCTGGCTGCCCTGGTGGCAGTGGCCACCTGCACCGAGACCTTCCTTGGGTAGGGGGGTCTGGATGGGGACGGTGACGCCGGTGACACCCTGGGTGGGATGGGAGGAGCTGGTTCAGCCCTGAGAGAGCACAAGGAAAAGGCCCAGGGGAAATCCCTGGAATGGGGGGATGGATGGGGTGGGGTTAGGCCAGACTAATGGGGCCGGAGCTCATCCCACACCCCCCTGGCCCCACAGGCACCAGGTGCTGCGCGTCGTCCCCCAGAGCGATGAGGAGCTGCAGAAGGTGCAGGAGCTGCAGGACCTGGAGCATCTGCAGGTACTGGGTGTGGAGGTGGATTTTGGGGACACCTCCCAGCCCATGGCAACCCCCCAAGCAAATCAAGGATGGGGCTGGATGTGGGATTACGGATTTTGCACCCCCCAAGCAAATCAAGGATGTGAGATCATGGATTTTACACCCCCCAAGCAAAGCAAGGATGTGGGATCATGGATTTTACACTCCCCAAGCAAAGCAAGGATGTGGGATTATGGACTTTACACCCCCCAAGCAAAGCGAGAATGGGGCTGGATGTGCGATTATGGGAACCAAGCGGTGAAAAACGAGACAGGCTGGTGCTGGAGGGTGCATCCTGAGGCAGGATCTGAGCCCTTATCTCTGTTTTTCCACACCCAGCTGGATTTCTGGCTGGCTCCCCGTGGGCTGGGACTTCCCGTGGACATCCGCGTGCCCTTCCCCAGCCTGCAGGCAGTCAAAGCCCACCTGGAGACTGCTGGGGTCTCCTATTCCATCATGATCGAGGATGTGCAGGTCAGCGGTGCTGTGGGGGAGGCGGGGCAGGGGTGGGATCCCATTCAGTGGGAATGAGGCTCATCCCACATCCCGCATCCCACAGGCCCTGCTGGATGAAGAGCAGACGGAGATGCTCCGCAGCAGCCGCGTGCTGGCCCTCAGCACCGACACCTTCAACTACGAGGCCTACCACACCATAGATGAGGTGGGAACGTGGAAGTTTTGGGGTGTTTTGGGGAAAAAGTTTGCTCTTGGGCAGGAGCTGAGCTGGGAGTGACCCCCACACCCCTTGTCCCCAGATCTACAACTTCATGGACATGCTGGTGGCCGAGAACCCCAACCTGGTGAGCAAGCTGGAGATCGGCCGCTCGACCGAGAACCGTCCCCTCTACGTGCTCAAGGTGAGGATTTGGGGACGGTGATCCAGAGGGGAAAGCGGTGACGGGGACAAAGCCAACCCACCCTTCTCTGCTCCCCCAGTTCAGCACGGGGGGCACAAACCGCCCGGCCATCTGGATCGACACCGGCATCCACTCCCGCGAGTGGGTCACCCAGGCCAGCGGAGTCTGGTTTGCCAAGAAGGTACTGACGCGTCCCAAAAGGGTCACCCGGCCCTCAGGAGCTGTGGGATCCAGGTGGGTGATCCCACAGGGAGGACAGGGAACCCCAAACCTCCGTCCTCTCTAGATTGTCCAGGATCACGCGAATAACGAAGGCGTGGCCTCCATCCTGGAGACGATGGACATCTTCCTGGAGATCGTCACCAACCCAGATGGCTTTGCCTTCACCCACACCACGGTACCGCCCCGGATCTCCTCTCCCCGCTTCCTACAGCCGCGCTGGATGGGGCCGGGGAGCGGGATTTGGGGTTTTGTATATCCCTGAGAGGGGAAAGCCTCCTCATCCACATTTCCACGGGATGGGAAGGGGACCCCCAGGAGCCGTGGAGCTCCAGCCCTGGAGGCTGAGGTGGCTCTGCCCTTCCAGAACCGCATGTGGCGCAAGACCAGGTCCAAGCACTCGGGCTCCATCTGTGTCGGAGTGGACCCCAACCGCAACTGGGACGCGGGTTTCGGAGGTCAGAGCTGCCCCCTCGCCCCTGTGGAGCGTTTCTGCTCTCCAGCTGGAGGCTCCAAAGCTGGATCTACCTCAAAGATCCATTGGTGTCCCCTGGGAGGGAAGATGTGGGGTTTGCTCTCCATGGCAGCACTGGGGGTTTGGGCTCCACCAGAGCTTTGATGCCCCCCAGTGACCAAAAGCCACCACACAAATCTCCAGGAGCACCAAGCAGCTGAGGGGTGGGAAAACCTCTTGGGCTTGGAAGCCCAAAGCCCCCCAAATTCCCACTGTGTTCTCACCATCCTCTTCTCCGCAGGGGCCGGAGCCAGCGGAAACCCCTGCACGGAGACGTACCACGGACCCTACCCCAACTCGGAGCCCGAGGTGAAATCCATCGTGGACTTTGTCAAGAGCCACGGCAACATCAAGGCTTTCGTCTCCATCCACAGCTATTCCCAGCTCCTGCTCTATCCCTACGGCTACACCGAGACCCCGGTGCCGGACCAGCAGGAACTGGTGAGGCCCCCGTGGTTTGAGGGGTTGGGATGGGGTGCAGCTCTTCTGCTGAAGCTGGGAGGAGCTTTGGCATCTTTTTGCGCCCAGAAAAAAAGCTGGATCCCGGTGGTTTTCCCTTTCTTTGGCTCATCTTTTCCTCCCCTTCCCTGAATTCCCAGCACGAGCTTTCCGCCAAGGCCGTGGCAGCTCTGTCCTCCCTGCACGGCACCAAGTACAAGTACGGCAGCATCATCACCACCATCTGTAAGTGCAGCCCCAAAAATCCCAAACCCACCCCTCACTCCACCCAAATATCCCACGGAATTCCCAAAAAATCCATCCAGGCTCCGAATCCCTCCCATTTTTTTCCTCCTCCCACAGACCAAGCGAGCGGATCAACCGTGGACTGGACCTACAACGAGGGGATTAAATATTCCTTCACCTTCGAGCTGCGGGACACGGGGCGTTACGGATTCCTGCTTCCCGCCAAGCAGATCGTTCCCACCGCCGAGGAGACCTGGCTGGCGCTGAAGGTCATCATGGAGCACGCCCGGGACAACATGTACTGAGCTGGGATCGGGGCTGGAGCAGCTGGAGAGGAGGGAAAAGGCAATCAAGAGATAAATAAATGGGATGAAGGATGAGAAGAGCCGGTGGTTGTTTTCCTTTGTTCCCAAATGGGGTGGAAAAGCCCTCTGGGAGCTGGAGTTGGTGCCAGCACAAACAGGGTGTGCTGGGCCAGTGGCCTGGAAAAGGAATTGGTTGAAAGGGCATGAAAATAGCAGGAAAAGGAAGGAAGGTGGTGGTTTTCCCTTTGCTCTGGCAGAGGATGGAAAGGGAATTGGGTTCTGGCACAGCGGGATTTATTTGGGTTCCAGGAGAGCTGGAGAGGGACTGGGGACAAGGCCTGGAGGGACAGGACACAGGGAATGGCTTCCTCTGCCAGAGGGCAGGGATGGATGGGATCTGGGAAGGAATTCCCAGAGAAGCTGTGGCTGCCCCTGGATCCCTGGAAGTTTTCCAGGCTGGGCTGGAGAGACTTGGAACAGCCTGGGATAGTGGGAGGTGTCCAGGAGTTGGAACTCAACTTCCCACCCAAACCTGAGTGTGTGACCCGTCCTCACCTGCTGCAATCCCCAGGGAATGGGGAGCTGAGCCCCTGCCCATTCCCGGCTTTTCCAGGCTCTCCACAGCTCTCAAAGCTGCAAAGAAATCACCCAAGCAGATGCTGCAATTTACATTTTATTAAATTAAACACTTAAAACCTCTCAGCCTCTGCTCCAAACAACACCAAGAGTCCAAATCCACACAAATCCCTCGAGGTGGTGGGGAAGTACATCCAGTCCTTGCTCTGATTCCGTGGATTTGGAGGATCCCAAAACAATTCAGGCCAGTTTTTGTCCAACTTTCACCAGGAGGTTTTCATGCAAGCACAGAGCAGCCAGGGGTTCTGGATCTGTCTCCCACAGCTGGATAGCAAAATCGGGATTTTAGCCAATGCCATGACATTTCCAAGAGCTCATGGAGCTGGAAAAATCTACTCCCACAGCAGCAGGACCTCATCAGACCGAACCTGCAATCAGCATTGTCTCATTTTAGACTCAGAGAGCCAATGAAAGATAAATGTGCTCAGGGATGTTGAGTCTTAAGCTGCCAAACTGGAAATTTTGTGCCATTTCTCCTACTTTTTGTCCTTTCGTCAGAATTATCTCAAAATCACCAGTGAGGATTTGGGATGTGTTGAAAATTGTCTGCTTCAAAAAAGGGGTAAAAACACCGATTCCAGAAACACACACAAACCCCACAGGACCACGATAACCGAAGCAGGACCAGGCTCAGCCAGATGGAAAAATCGGAGTAGAATCCCTCCAAAATCATGGGCAGCTGAGGAAAATCAGAGCATTCCCAGCTTATCCAGGAGCACCAATCTGAGGAAAAATTTTCCAGGAAACCTTCACCTCATTCAGTTCCAGATTCCAGGTCCCAGCTGGGTTTTAAGGACCATGGTGAGGCAGCAGCAGCGAATTTCCCTTCAGCCACCCTAAACCTTAAAGAAACTCCTAAAAAACCTCTGGTAAAGGAGTCACTGGGAAAAAAATAACAATTCCAGTTATTCTCCTGCAGCTCACTTTGAAATAGACACAACTATTCACATAGCATCGACTGTCACAGCACCAACTGGGCAATAAAAAACATCTTTATTACAGATATTTCTGTTCACTAGCATAATTTATTAAAAAAAACCCCAAAAAACTCCTTCAGGATCTTCTCTCACTTTTGGCAAGTTGCTGATTATCTCTGCTAAAAACACCAATGGTTTTTGGCCTGTTCACCCTCACGGCTCCAGGAATGTTACAGACAAAAAATTCCTTCAGCTGGACTAAAAACTTTGTGGAACAGTTTCTACTGGTCCCAATTTGCTCCTTCCCCTACAAAACCAGTTCTATCACCTCTGTCCTGCCCTGCCCCTCAGGTGATGCCATTCCTGCTCCTAGGAATCGTCATTCCAGCCTTACCCGAGCTGCCAATCCTCACCACGGCTGCTTTTTTCCCCCTGCCAATCCCTCAAACCACAAAGGGGCTCAGCATTCCCAAAACCTGGATTCTGGTTTATTTCCAGGGCCTGTTCTGGATGCTGGTCCTGCGGGAGCGGCTGCTCAGGGATCCCACGGTGCCAGCAGAGCTGGGGAGGCTGGGGTTGCTCCTCGTCGATGAGAGTTTGGAATCGTGGCTGGAAAAGCCGCGGGTGAGGCGACCTGCGGGGGATAAAAACAATCCTAAATCAGAAATTGATTGTTCATAAATTGTGGTTGTGCCATTTCTGGATGTGTCCAGCCAGCCTGGAGCAGCCTGGGATAGAGGAAATGTCCAAGGTGGGATGGAGAAGGTTTAAGGTCCCTTCCTGAAATTTTTCTTTTTGAAAAATTCAAATTTTCACGTTTTGAACTTGGATTTCTCGGTCTCCTCTGAGCTGAGGTTTTTTTGGGATATTTCTTCATGGGGAGTTCTGTTTATTTCAGTTCTTTGGGTCAGGAGGAAAACTCTGAAGCTCATTAGGATCTTGTTAATTAGGATGTTATCACAAAGCTTGGCAGGCTTTTCCAGAGTTTCTGCACAAGTTTTATTCACCATAACTTTGTCTTCTTTGGCTCTGATGGCACAAAACGGCTCTGAACCACGTGGTTGTTTCATCTTTATATCTATTTTTATTTAATTAACAATAGATACATGTGTTGTTTTTATATATTAACAAATAAGTTTTTTATCTCTATTACGTAATTAAAACTGTGACTAACTCTCAACTAATCGTTCTTTGTGCTTTTAAAAATTGCAGAATTGTGGAGAAGAAGGAAGGAGAGCTAAAAACTACACTTTTTTTCTTCCATTTTTATGTATTAAACCCTCTAAAATCTTTATTTTTCACTTCAGTGACATAGTAAACACTACTAAACTTTCTACTTAATTTTTTACAAATCTTGCTTTTATTATTTTCCAAATCAGGGATATTTGGAAGCTTTTCTGTCGGCGACAAATAAGATTAATACTTTTAAAAATAATAATGAATAAGATTGATTTTAGTTAATCATAATTTAACAATAATTTATTATCTTTATTTAATAATAATTTATTAATAATGTGATAATGTAAATAATAATGAATAATATGAATTTCGATTAATAATAATGTAATATGTTATTATTACATTTTATAATATCTTTATAATTTAATAATTGAATAATCATAATTAAGATTAATTTTAATAAATAATTAACAATTTATTACTCTATTTAATAATATATTAATAATTTAATAGTTTTAATAATAATAGTTAATAAGATTGGTTTAATTAATAATAATTTAATAATAATCCTTATTATATTTATTTTAAAAATATTAATTTTATTATATTTTTACTAATAAATTTATTATATTTATTAAAATTATTTAATATTTTTATTAATTTCATTGCTATTTATTATATTTATATTATATTTCTTTAATAATAATTTAATGATTTATTAAATTTATTTAAATTTTTAAAAATGTATTTAAAAGTTGATCAATAATTTAATAATTTTACTAATAATAATTAACAATATTAATTTAATTAATAATCGAATAATAACTTATTATTATAGTTATTTTAAAATTATTTTAAAATATTATATTTATTTAATAATTTATTGTATTAATTTAATAATAATTTAATAATAATGATAATGATAATAATGATAATAATGATAATAATGATAATAATGATAGTAATAATAATAATAATAATAATAATAATAATAATAATAAATAATAAATAAATAAGATTAATACTTTTTTTTGGGGGGTGAGAACAGGACAAACAGAGAAACATCTCTCCATTTCTGCATCCCTCCACCTTCCCAGCCCAGCACTCTGTGGATGTGAGACACTCACTGGCAGCATCTGAAGGGAGCTGCTCCTCGGCCAGGTAACGCCTCAGTTTCTGCAGATCCTCTGCAGAAAACCTCCACCTGTTCTCGGCGCGCGCCGGCGGCGCCCTGGGAACGGCTCTCCTGCGGGCAGTTCCCGCCGGAGCCGCCACCTGGCAGGAGGCCGGGAGCGTGCCGGTGATCAACCCCTCCGGGATCTTCTGGGCAAGGACCTTGAGGCCTGTGGGGACACGGAGCTGTTAGCCCAGCTGGATGGGTCAGGAGGGAGAAGACACGAGGGACTCGTGGAGCTGGAGGTCCAGGAAGTTGGGATGGAGAAACGTGGGGAGCAGGAGAGGGGGGAATTCTCTGTCCCTGTGCCCTGCTGAGGTGAGGTCCCACATGGAGTCCAGCTCTGGGGACACAGCAGCAGCACCTGGAGCTTCTGGGGAGAGGAATCCAGAGGAATCCACAGAGCTGCTCCAGGGCTGGAGCCAGGCTGGGAGAACTGGGAATGCTCTCCTGGAGAAGGGAAGGATCCAGGGAGAGCTTCCAGCACATTCCAGGGCCTGGAGGGGCTCCAGGAGAGCTGGAGGGGGACTGGGGACAAGGCCTGGAGGGACAGGACACAGGGAATGGCTTCCACTGCCAGAGGGCAGGGATGGATGGGATTTTGGGAATTGGGAATTCCTGGCTGGGCTGGAATCCTGAATCCCTGGAAGTGTCCAAGGCCAAGCTGGACACTGGGGCTGGGAACACCCTGGGATTATGGAAGGGTTGGAACCAGACAATCCTTCAGCTTCATCCCATCCCATCCCATCCCATCCCATAATTCCACAATCCAAATCTTTCCAGCTCCCCCATCCCTGCCCCAGGGGGTCTCGGGGCGCTCTCCCAGCCCCACGTACCCCCAGATAACATGAAGAGGTTCTCGAAGCCCCTCTCACACATGGTGGTGGCCGCCTGGCTCGCCAAGCGCTCATCGTTGTCGTAGACGATGATGATTTTCCCGTGGGCGTTTTTCTGCCGTGGGGATCGTTAAGGAACTTAAAGAGAGGATATTGAAACGTTTCAGGAAGGAAAAAAGAGGGATATAAATGGGATTGGAGAGGGAAAGACTCCGTGCTTGGGAATGTCTTGCTTAATTCCCGCTGGATCCAGCATTGCTTGAGGATTGGGAATGGCAACAGCCCCTTTGTTCACAGCCTCCCCTCGGAATCAACAACCTGGGAATGCTCAGCCCAATCCCACTTCATGACCCTCTCGCTGTCCCCAGTCCCATCAAGGTGCTGACAGGAAGCCAAAGGATTTGATGGATGCATCCCTGGAGCAGCCAAAATCCTGGGAAACGCCGAATCCAGGCAGCTCCCAGCGGAGCCAAGAGGAGGAAGCGGAATCCGGATGGAGGAAGTGGAGCTGCAGCAGGAAAACTCCTGTTCTGAGATCCCTAATTTTGCTTGGATAAGCTCCAGTGGGTTTTGGGAGCCCCCCTCACCCGTTTTCCATGGAAAGGATACGTATTCCAGAATATTATTTGTGTAGGGATTCATGGTTCTGGACAACGTTGCGATGGGGTAGGAATAAGCTGCAGAATGGAGGGAAAAAAAAACAGGGAAAAATCATCCAGGGGCTCGACATCTCTGAGCTGGGATCAGCTGGGATCAGCTCATCCCTTCCCAGGAAGGGGGAATGTGCTGGAAAAGCACTGGGAAGACGAATTTTGATGGGAAAAGTGAGAAATAAAAAGGATTTTGGCTTTCATTAGCCTGAACAACCTGAAGTCTTCAGAAGAGTTTCAAAATGCCAGTTTAGTGCTGGTGAAATCAATGGAAAGACAAGGAATGTGCTTGGGTTTTTCCTGTCTTGGGGTATTTTGAAATTGTTAATTAATGTTAATTAATATAGTAAATAGAATTAATGCTACATTTAATTGAATGATAAATTGTTTTCATTAATAATTCATTAGTAAATAATAATTAATTGAATTTATTAATAATTTATTTAATTAAATAAATTTATATTATTTTATATTTGTATTGATATATTTATATATAAATAGTTCTATTTTTTATTTTTGTTATAATATTTATATACTAATATATTTATAATATTTACATTGATAATTAATTCAATTAATTAATTAATTAAAACCAAGGAATGCTGGGGTGGGAAGGTGTAGGGATCCAGAAATGGAGAAATGTTTCTCTGTTTGTCCTGTCCCCAACCAAAAAAAGAGGTATTAATCTTATTATTAATATTAAAATTATTAAATTATGAATAAATTATTAATTATTATTAATTTATTACATTAATTAATTGAAATAATCTAAAAGCTAAAACTAAATCTAAATCTAAAGCTCAAGTTACGACCTAAAAGTGAAATAAAAATCTCAGAAATGATCCATAAATGAATCTGGTGATGTCCCAGCTGGGGGACAAAAATAAAAAATAAATAAAAAAAATATATAAAAATAAATAAAACCCACAAATTCCAAAATGTGGGAATTGGAATGCAGGGATCGTGGCGGGGCTGTGGCCGCTCACCTCCCACGATGTGACACTGCTCGTAGGCGTCGCGGTCCCGCACGTCCAGCAGCAGGAAGGGACAGTCGGGGTACGGCGTCTCCCTGGCCTGGCTCTCCTCTTCCTTCGGAGAATCCTTCTCCAGGTCCAGCTCCCCAACCCCGCTGATCACGCTGGGAACCGAACACAGGAACAGGGAATGGGGCTGAGAGAGACTGCAGCAGCTCCGGGGCTGCAGAGGGGAGGAGAGGGGAGAGGGGAAAGGGGAGAAAGGAAGGAAGGGAGAAAGGAGGGAAGGGAGAAAGGAGGGAAGGGAAGGGAAGGGAGAAGGGAGAAAGGAGNAGAGAGGAGGGGAGGGAGAGAGGAGGGGAGGGAGAGAGGAGGGAAGGGAGAGAGGAGGGAAGGGAGAGAGGAGGGAAGGGAGAGAGGAGGGAAGGGAGAAGGGAGAAGGGAGGAGAAGGGAAGGAAAGCTTGCTTGCTTTTTTGGGAATTCTATTCCAGCCAGGAATTCCTTCCCAATATCCCTGCATCACTTTGAAGCCATCCCCTGTGTCCTGTCCCTCAGTATCCACACAAAAACACCACCAGGAACTGTGCAACCCCCAAAATTCCAGAATGTGAGGGTCTGGATGGAATCCCACCAACACATTTCCTTCTCAGACCACCAGCAGGTGACAACAAGATCGCCTTGCTGCCTCCAGCCAAACCCATTCCAACAGAAAATCCTTCCAACCCCTTCCCTCTCACCTACAAACCCAGCCTTTAATGAGAAATACAATTAAAAAATTTAATTTAAAAATATATTTCAATTTAAATTTGAGCCGGGCTCAAATCATCGTCTTCCAAAGACTGTTGGGGTCAGAGGCACAGAAAATGTGATTTTATCTGTGACAGCTGGCTCTGACACCCAAAAGAGCTCTGAATTTCACAGAACACCACGGAGACAGCTGGTAAAATTCCATAGGGAAACTGGGAATGTCGGGGGGTGTGTGTGTGTTAGAGAGTTTTCTTAGGGCACTGGGTGAGAAAGTTTGAAAATAATTTTAGAATTTCGAAAATTTTAAAGAAATTTTAGAATTTTTAAATTTTAGAAGGTAAGAGTGTTGTCCTTTCTCCTTCTTCATCTTTTTCCTCTGAGGGTTTTTGAATAAAGAGGGATTGGATAAAGTGTGGGGTCATTGGGTCACTAAGAAAAATAACTTATTTGCCATTTGTTAATTGGATAAATAGACACAAAAACCATTTTTTAAACATTTTACACCTCTCTTAACGCTCCTTGTGCTCTGTAGAAATGTAATAAAGATAAAAGAAGAATAAAAGAGCCTGAACAGGAGAAAACCATCTCAGTTTTGGGGAAAATATCCCAAATTATCCCACCCAGATGATGTTTTGGTGAGGCACCTCTGCAGCGTGGAGCGATGGGATTCTCCAGCTCCGGAGTTGTTGAGGAACAGGACAGGGCTGGCCGTGCCCTCAGGGCTCCCTTTGTCGTTTTTTGTCCCCTCTGTGTCGTCACCTGCAGAGTCTGGGGACACCAGAGGACACCAGGAGTTAAAGAAGAGGTAAACAAGAAGGTTTTAAAGGGGAGTTTCTATTCCTGGAAAGAAAAGTGTGACAGCTTTATTATCTTCATCCTCTTAACGAGGAGAATTTATCCTGAGCCTCCTATTTAAAATAATGAAGAGCTGAAAGGTTTTTTTCATTTTGTTTTTTTTTTTTATTTTAAAGGTTCGAGGTTTCATTTGAAGAAGTCAATAAAATTGAATTTTCAGTTCTGTGGGTTCTATGAATTAAATATTCAGTTCAATCTATGGATTGTGTTACAACCACAGAACTGCCAGCACGAGGCTTTTCCTACTTGCAAGCCCTACTTTTTCTTAATTTATTTTTTAGGAGTTAAAAAAACCTAAATTTTTAGGTTTGAAATTGCTGCAGGCCACAGGGTTTATTTATTTTACTAATTTATTTATTTACTGTTTTTATTTCTATATTTTCTATTTTTATATATTTATATATTTTGTATTTATATATTTTATATCTATATTTATTTCTGTATTTCTCCACGTCTATATTTTATATATAATTTATTTCTATATTTTCTATTTATTTTATTTCTATATTTTCTATTTATATGTATTTATAGACTTATTCATATATTTACATAATTATATATTTTATATATAAAATTTATATATTTTATATTTCTATATTTATGTTATATATATTTTATTTCTATACTTTATATCTAAATGTATTTATAGATTTATTCATATATTTACATGTTTACTATATATTAATTCTATATTTTATATCTATATATTTAATATATATTTTATTTATACATTTAAAATTTATATATATTTATGTATTTATTTATATATTTTTGGTTTTTATATATATTTTATTTATATTATATACTATTTATATATTTTATGGTTTTATTTATTTTAATATAATTTATTTTATATTTAATATAATCTATTTATTTTTATTTTTTATTTTAATATAATTCCATTATTTTTTATTTTAATATAACTTCATTATTTTTTATTTTTAATTTTTATTTATATATTTACTTTAATATATTTTCATTATTTTATGTTCAATTTTTATTTATTTATTTTAATATATTAAAAAAAAATTATTTATATTTAATATAATTTCATTATTATTTTATTTTATTTTATATTTTAATATAATTTCATTATTATTTTTTATTTTATTTTAATATAATTTCATTATTATTTTTATTTTATTTATTTTAATATAATTTCATTATTATTTTATTTTCTATTTTTATTTATTTGAATATTTTTTAAAAAAAATTATAGATTTACTCTAATATAATTTCATTATTTTTATATTTTCTTTTTTATTTATTTTAATATAATTTCATTATTATATTTATTTTATTTTAATACCATTTCATTATTATTTTTTATCTTAATTTATTATTTTTAATTAATTTATTTATTTTTTAATTAATTAATTTTATCTTAATTAATTTATTATTTTAATTAATTATTTTAATCTTAATTATATTTTTAATATAATTTCATTGTTATTTTACTTTCTATTTTTATACATTTATTTTAATACAATTTTTTAAATTTTAATTTATATATTTACTTTAACATAATTATTATTTTTAATTTTTTTTCCCCACTGATGAAGTGGTGCCAGCTCTGCCCCTTTCCCCCCTCAGCTGTCACCTGGCAGCTCGTGCAGCTCCTCCTTTGTCACCTCCAAGGTTTCATTGGACAGAGAGGCCACCTGGAGCACCTGCAGGGCACAAAAACACCTAAAAACTGATCCCCACAGCCCAAGAAAAACAATCCAAGGGGAAAAAATCCACCCCAAATCCACAGAATCCCCCCCTTTCAGCATCCCCAAGTTTAACCTCCCTTTTCCTTCTCACAATTTGGGGTTTTTTTCCCCTAGTTTGAAGCAGTTTTATTGAACCAGCACCCCCCAGCTCTTTATTTCCTGATCCATTTTTCACTTTTTAATTTTTAAATATTAAAAAAAAAAAAAGGTTTCAAATAAAAACTGCTTTGAAATAAAAACTGCTTTGAAATAAAATAACGCACAGCAAGCCTTCAAGTCCCAACTGCTCGCCCTCTGCAGTTAAACCTGAGCTCAGGGAGGGCTTCAGACTCAAAACTCAGATTTAGGTGCTGTTTTACACCTAATTTTGACTTTTGCAGATGCCTGAAGATCCTTCTGACTTAAAGGACAAATAAAATAAGGAATAAATTTCAAAGATTGAGCCACCACAAACTTTTAATTTGGAATTAAAGGCATTTGGCCGCTGTGGAAATGAAGGATTTGCTTTTATTAAAGGCAGGAAGGAGCCAGGATGGAATAATTACAATTAAAGCTGAATAATTACAGAGGAATTTTTTTTATTCCAAGGAAAAATGTTGCTCCTAAAAGATTTTTGGAGTTCAGAGAGGGATTTGTACCTACCAACTGAGCAAAAGTTGTCACCTTCAGCCTTTTAAACAGCTCATCCTTTTTATACCTGTAATCTTCAAAAACAAAACAAAGAGGACAAGGTGAATTTTCAGTTTATTCCCATTTTTTCTTTTAGGTTATGGCTTAATCCCAGCTTTTTTCTGGGATTCTTCTGCAGCCAGGCAGGAATTCAGGGCAGGTTTGTGGTGAAGGATGAGAGCAGCAAACCTGGAGACTTTGTGAAATGTCAGTTATAAAGAGAAATTTTAATTAATGTCAGTTATAAAGAGAGATTTTAATTAATGTCAGTTATAAAGAGAAATTTTAATTAACACCAGTTATAAAGAGAAATTTCAATTAACACCAGTTATAATATTATATAATAATAATTGTATTTTTATATATTATTATCTTGCCCAGATATGATGAAGTGGAAGAAGATTTAATTGCTTTTAATTTAGACTAAAACTAAAGTTTAGTTTTTTTATGTTTAGACTCAAATATGAATTTATGTTTTCCATAAAGCAGTTCAGGAATTTCCCCCTTTCCCTGCTGTTCTTTGGAGCCCCAAAGCTCCTTAAACCAATAGATTATTAATTTTTAATATGAATTTTTAATTTGTGTAAATTAGAGCAGGATCAGAGCGTGGGGCATCCTGTCTTTGCAAATATCGAGTTAAACACGCGGGTTTCATCTTAATTTAAAAAAAAAATCCAGGATTTTATCATTTATCTGACAATTAAATTCTGATTTCTTTCATTTGATCTCTCAGGGAAGGGATAACCAACACAAGAAACTAGACTAATTGAGTCTTAATGGCTAATTAACACAAGAAACCGCACTAATTGAATTTTAATCCTGAAGACACAGCTCAGGGAGGAAGAAAACCGAGCGGGGCTGTTGGCAAAGATCCAGAGCAGAGATTCCCAGAGCTGAGGATTTGATCCCATCCAGATCCAGGAGAGGCAGAGGAGGGGGGAAAAAAAAACCTCCTGGAGGGAAACAAAAGGTGTGAGGAGGAGGAAAGAGAAGCCAGGATATCAATAGGAACATCTTGCTATGGAATAACCTCTCCTGGGAAGCAAGGGGAGCTTTGTTCCTTTGGGAAATGCCAGGCTGGGAAGGAGCTGGTGCCTCTCCAGCTCCCAGGGATAACGATGGAGAGCGGGATCTTTGGAAAATCCACTCAGTTCAAGGATTCTAAATCCTCTAAAACCATCTGCTGGATGCTCCGTTAGCTTGGGGGAGATGAGGGGGAAGGGTTCCAATGCGCATTCCTGCATTTCTCCTCACAAGGGAGGAAAAGGAGCCCTCCCAAAATAGACACCAAAATAAAATAAAATATAAAATATTCCAAAATAAAGCACGGGGCTGAAGCACAGGAGGTGCAGAAATTGGGCTGGAGGATGAGGAGAAGAAACTGGATTTTAGGATGTCAGCTCACTGGGAAATTACTCTGGTGGCTCTTGCAAAACCACCTGGTTTGTGGCTCTTGCAAAACCACCTGGTTTCAAACCTCGAGCTGAGGTTGTTAAATCCTCCTTTAACTCAAAAAAAAAACCCAACCCCAAATTATCTCCTGTAATCATTTCCCTTTCCAGCTGCTCAAGGATTAAAATTGCCCAGCCAAGGTCAAAAAAAAAGAGCCTTTCTGTCATGGCAAATAAACTTCATTTAGAAGGACAAATAAAAGCAGTGAAGCTTGGGAAGCGCTGGATGGATAAAGCCACCAGCAAAAAATTTGGCTCCTGGGTGGCTCCTTCCCACCTCAAATAAGGAATTCTCATCCCAAAAATACCTTCTTTGCCCTAAATCTTGCCTTTGCCACCCAAAACGCTTTCCCAGAGAGCTCGGAAGCGCTGCCTGCAGCTCCAAAAGCAGCCCCACGTACCCGGTCCGGTCCTGGCGGATCCGTTGGGATTTTCTGACATGGTTTTGCTGGGAATGGTTCTGTTTTCCCAAGGATGGGCTGCTCCTCAGGGCTTTGGAGAGGAGGGAAAGAGCAGCAGAGAGGAAGGAAGAGCGTCCTCAAGTCAATCCTCCAAAGGATGGTTCAGGGTGGGCGCAGCTCTTGAATTTTTGACGGCGTGGATTTAAATCTCTCACGTTACATAAGGGACAGAGAGGTGCCTGTGCTGGGGATTTAAATCTGCATCCAAAGGGTGTCATCTATCCCTGAGAAACCAAGGGGGAGAGATTCCTCCACTCCCTGGGAACACAAGGTGTCCATTCAGCCTGTAGAGAATGAGAAAGTTCCTCCCTGGCCTCAGGGAAAAAAATAAAATAAAAAAAAAGGAGGGAATGAAAGAAGCGCGTGGAACAGATCCGCGGGGAGATTGGAAAAACCCCCAAAGAAATAAAAACAACAAACCCAAGATTTTCAACAGAAATAAAAAAAAAAAAAAGAAAAGCAGTGTCCAGCACTGAAATCTCAGTCAACAGAGGCTTTTGGAAAGCTTGAGGTCATTCCTCTTCATTTTCTGCTCCCCTCCCCAAAGACTTGCAGTGTTTGAGAAACAAAACCCCTGAACTCAACAAACAAATCACAAACAAAGGCTGGTTCTGCACAAAAAAAATTCCCTCACAAATAAAAGTGGGGCTGAGAACTAAACCTGGACGTTTCAAATCCTAATTAATGCTCATTAATGGAGGTTTCAGTTCAACTTGGGTTTTTTTTTTCGCCTCCACAAACGCAGCTTTGAGAGGTTGAAGGGTTTTCCTGGCTCCTTAGGTGAGAATAATCTGGGGATAAAGTCATAAATCACTGGTTTTATGGGGGAAAAAATATTTGAGAAGCTTGGTTTTGGTGGGAAAACTGAGAAATTAAAAGAATTTAGGCTTTCATTAGCCTGAACAGCCTAAAGTCTTCAAAATACTTTCAAAATGCCAGTGTTTAGTGCTGGTGAAATCAATGGAAAGACAAGAAATGTGCTTGGGTTTTTCCTCTCTTGGGGTAGTTTAATAAAATTGAAATTACCTAAAGATAAAAGAGTTCAAGTTGTGACCTAAAAGTGAAATAAAGTCTCAGACATGATCCATAAATCTTCCCAGATGAGTCTAGCCTGGATTTCTTAGCTCAGAGAACTTTCACAAACAAAATCCAATACCAAAACTGCACAAAGAAGGATCTGGAAGATTCCTGCTTGGATTTTTAAATTAAATCTGTGGAGATTTCCAAGGAAAACCCCCTGGAATTCATCTCCTGCTCTTCTGAGTTTTAAACCACCCCATTTTTAACCCATCCTGCTCTTCCCCCAGGTACTCACTTCTTTTGATCTCTTCCAATTTTTCCATGTATTTTGACAAACTATTTCCTGTAATGAAAAAAAAAATCAATTTATTACAATTATTTATTAATTAGGGGTTTTCTTCAGGCCCATTAAGGCTTAAATTTTAATTGCTTTGAAGGAAAGAGCTGTTTGTTGTAGATCCTCCTTCACTGTGACAATAAAAAGTAGAAAAATGCCACCATTTTCCTCTTTTCTCTCAAGGAAAGTAGAAAAATCCAAGATTTTGCTGTTCCTTCCCCATCATTGACATCCTTGACAAAGATACAGGAAAATCCACGGATAGAAATTCCAAAAACAGTAATTTCTATGGGAACCACCACAACAGAGCCTGACCCAGTTTAAACCTATTTAACCTCCAAATTATTCTTTAAAAAAAAGCAGAGTAGGAAAAAGAAAATAAACAAGTTTTAAGACAACAAAGACTTTAAAAATAACTTTTTTATGCGGTCATCTACGCACAGAGTGTTTAATCTCAATTTTCAGGGGGGGTTCAAGGTGTTGTGTGAAGATAAATACACTTAAATACATAAAAATATATAGATATATAAATACAAATTAATCTCTAGAGCTCGTGTTTGTTTAAATTTCACCTTTGAAGGAAAAGTATCAACAGGAAATTTTTATAAGCTGCAAACATCCGGTGAGACAAATCATAAGCACTGTAAGGATTTTGTAGTGTTGAGGTAAATTAGCTCAAAACAGAGGTAATTAAGACATTAATTATATTTTTTCTGTCATCCTACACCGATTTTGGGTGGTTTTATCCCACAACAATTTCACTTACCAGTATCCAGACGAGTTTTTATATGTTGATACTTGGGATTCGTGGGGATGCGCCGGGTTAGAAGCTGTTTCAACATGGAAAAGATGAGAAGCCAAAATTAAAAAAATTCAAAAAATAAAAAAAATAAGGTAGAAAAATGAGAAGAAAATGCGATTTGAAGGGGTTTAAGAGACAGAAAAACCAGCGAGAAATTCCTGAATCCCCATCTGGGTATTAAACCCCGCTGATTTAAAGCCTCAAAAGGAGAATTTCTCCCGTTTTCCCTCCCCGCGGAGCTCTCCCGGCTCCGGGGGCTGCATGAACCATCTCCCCGCCTTTCCCCCGTGTCCCCCCTCTCCTCCCGGAGGATGTTGAGAAGGGAAGGCCCCTCACGGCACCTGAGGGTCGCCGAATCCGCCCCGAGCCGACATCGCCCCTCAGCGCCGCTCGCCCGCTCCGCCCGTCCCTCACGCGCGGCCGCGCTCCCGCCTCCCGCCCACCCCGCAACTACGCCCTCCGCCATTGGCCGCCCGC